TCTCTACTCAAGAAGTTTGCCAAAGTTAGATCTCCAGAAATACTGATTTAAAGGTATGAGTGAAAGCTCATCTGTATGGCAAAGATATGTTTTTCAAAGTAATTTCTTTCATGATAAGAGCTTGGCAAGCTATGTTATTTTAAGCGCTAGGATTTAATGAACTTCTGATGCGAAATTCATTAACAAGCAGCCCTGTGGGGATTAATTAGTCTTTTTAATTTTTATAGTAGCCACGTTACGTTCCTTAAAAGCGATTTTAACCTACTTTGAGTATAATTGCAATCGTCAGTTTCTTTGTTGTGAAAGTATAGAAACTAAACTTGTGAGAGACAATAAAAATAAAAAGAATATGTAATTTTTGAAAAAAAAAAAAAAGCTTGAATTTTTCGACTCGTATCTGCCCTTAAAGGTCTAGTAAACAACCTTATGGATCAAAATTATTGATGGAGTAATAACTGTGCGCTTGTGAGATAGGAACATGCTGCCGCTGCCGCAAGAACTTTACATATAGGTCCTGTCAGAAGAATGTTAATGAAACAACCCGCTTTGGCGAGTTTCAGTTTCTTGCTCGGCCTTCTGACTTTTCTCGTCGGCAAAGAGGTACAGGTGTAGCCGTTTGTCACGACTATGCTCACCTTGGCATACAATACGACATCAGTTACTATGTCAATGGCACACAGCCAATGACTGCAAGGCTTTCTTTATGTATTGCTCGTGTCGGAGCGACACGATGGGGAAGCTCAATGAGGAAACTAGAAGTACATCACCGGGGTGTTGTACTTTGAGTGTCCTCATTTTTAGCACTGTCCATTTCGAAGATGCATAAGTACTGTTCACCGTGTCCATTCTTTACAGAACAGCCAACACTGTCAAGCTTCAGGGCACAGCCCAGTAAACCAATGCCAACTTGCCCAAATGTCAATTCTTCTATTTGCTACTTGGAAGCTTGTTCGTGAAGACAGGTTGTTTTAATTAGGCTAATGGTGTGCTGACCACTAAAATGTGATTTTCTTTCAAACTAAACATATCCTTGGTATGAGACAAGCACTGGGAAGTTTCTAGAACACTGTTGGAACAATTCATGTTGACTTGAAGGGGCTCTGCAACACTTTTTCAGGTAGCCATACAATGGGTTCATTAAAGAATCTTATTGCCTCGCGAGTTGACGGCGGCAAAAATTTTTAGAATTCGTCCAGTACGAGCGGAGTTACAAAGATTTGTTGCACGCTGCAAGGGCACTTTCTGATCTCTTGTCCCAATGAAAGCACTGGAAGCTAAGCTGGGAGGAATGGCACGGGAAAAGAAAATATATCACGCCCGTCTTGTGACTGGAGCGCTTTTTTTTCCTTTTTTTTTTCTTTGAATACACGACTATTCAGTGCGACCGCGCGCACACGTGTGGACAAGTTGCTGCCTCCAACGGCGATCTCTGCAACAACCAAGCATGCCTTGCTCAAATCAACCAATGGCTGATACAAGGGCTGTGACTAGGGATTTTCGAGTTTGTTCTGTCATTTATTGAGAGAAGAGGAAGCAATTTCGAGCTTGCTTTGAGAATTTATTGAGAACTCCAGACCATGTGCTGTGTTGTAATATTTGCCTCGTGTGTTCCTAGGAGTTTCTACTACTGATCGGCAGCATTTTCTTACCATGCTCAAAAATTGTTGCAGGGTCCCTTTAATGTTTGCTTTTAGTGTCCTTTTAAAATGACGTCAAAATATTTGTAGCATATAGCACAAATTACCAATTTAGATGGATTACTTGAAAAGGCAGACATCATACTAGAAATCAAAATGCATCCATAATAACAAAAATATTGCTCATCCACTTTTTATTGAATACATTCAGTGCACATATCTAAATATTCCAAACAAATCCATTCATTTCATAAAGCATATCAACTACAAACAAAACTTAAAGTGAGCTACAGCTTTGAGGCAAGTTTTATCAAGCGCGCAATAAAGAAAAGTGTTCCACCTTCTGTTTTAACAAAGCGATCATGTACTAAAGTTTAAGAATTACTGAACAACTGGGTACTTTATCATGAACATTTAGAAATAATCTCTTGAATGGTCATTATCAATATTTGTTCCAATTGCATATTGCTATGAAAGTCGCCAGCTACACTCTGTGAATTGTAATTAGTTTAATGTCAGTGAGTAGAACTGTGTGAATTGTACACTTGTTTTCATTTCTTCGTGATAATATCCCTCTCAAGCCTAGCTCAAGTAGTACATTCTTGCTACATTCCACAAGATCCTTTATAAAATGCTGTTAAGAGTAAGAAAACAATACTAACGTAGCAAACCCAATATCACAACATCATATAAAAGCACAGTACCTAGATATTTATAGTTTAGGGTATGCTTTTACAGGCTGCACTGATTCGTTTCACTGCAGTGTGGCAAAAAAAAAAAAAAAAAAGCAAGGTAACGTGAGTCGCTGCTTTTAATGATAATCAAAGGCTTTACATGTCTTGTGAGTGAACTGCGTTAACGGCAGCACCAAGAAATGCATATTTTATGTAGGTATATTAGTAATATATTCCTTTGTCTAGGATGCCGGTGACCTTAGTTGACAGGCCTAGCCTTGCCCACCAGGTGTTTCTGGTCTTTAAAGGGGCCTTACAACACTTTTTGAGCATGTCAGAAAACACTGCCAATCAGTAGTAGCTCCCGTGAACATGTGAGCTAAATATTATAGCGCAGCACATGGTCCGGAATGGAATTCAAAATGAGTTATCAAAGTCAGCTAAATATTACTTTCTTTTCTTTTGACAAATGACAGAAGACGCTCAAAAAGCACTCGTAGAAGGCCATCTATCAGCCATTAGTTGATTTGAACGTGGCGTGATCGATCGTTACATGAATCACCGCAAGAGGGCGTGACTTGTCTACGCGGGTGCATGCGATCACACTGAAAAAGTTATATATTCGAAAAAAAAAAGAAGGAAACAGTGCTCAAGGTCACGAGGTGCTTGTGATGTGTATTTTTTTTTCCCCGTGCCATTCCTCTCTGTTTAGCTTCCAGCGCTTTCGTCAGGACAAAAAGAAGAGAAAATGGGTTTCCAGCGTGCTACAAATCTTTGTAACTCCGCTTGTACTGGACAGATTCTTAAAATTTTGCGGTGTTGAATTCATTAGGAAATAAGTTATTGTAGTGAATCCATGCCATGGTTACATGAAAACGTTTAGTAAAATATTTGCAGTGCAACTGATACTAGCAAGGAAAAAAAGAGACGAAAAAAAAAAAAGGAGAAAATATTTTATTAAGCAATGCACCAACTTGCCCAACGTCACATTTTACTTCAAAAAGTGTTTAAGGGCTTCTTTAAGGTCGGAGCTTGTCAGCTGGGCCTCCCATAACTCAGCGTATGGTCCTATGATGGGTGTTGTCGATGGTTTGTCCTGCACTCCCATATCATATGGTAGAGTGTGTCTGTTGCTGATTAGAATCCAAAGTCATTCCGTTTGCTTGCTGCTTACATGGAGTGCTAAAGTGTACCATGTGGGAATGAGCCGGCCTAAATTGTCCGATGTGGCACCATTTGCTTTTGTTAATTTATGGTGTGGGGGTTAGTTAATAAGCCCTTTTGGTAAGTGTGTAGTGGCTAATATATCTTTATTTGTTCAGATTGCTATTCTATGTGTCGAACAGGGCTCGTAAACCTGGTGGGATTGAGAGAACACATAATCTAAAAAACACAGAGAGAGAGAGAGAGAGAGAGTGAAAACAAAAGAAAATACCTGTCAGAGACAGTATAGTTGTAGTTTTCGAGCAGTGGAAAGATGTAATTGATGAATTAAATGGCAGTATATTGCAGTTCATAACTTGCTGTCAATTAGTTAGCTAAGTATGTTTAATGAAGGTGAATTTTCTGTACGAAAACAGTACTGTTGCTATTCCCAAAGTGTCTGGGTAGCAGGATGACCGTTCCTGTTACTTTTTGCTTCAATACATAAGCAGCTTTTAGTTAAAGGTCAAGTGGAGCAGCAGTTCATTTTTACCACAAGTTTAATGTACCTATTCAAAGCCCACACCAGCTTCACTTTGTAAGCTTCAATATGTCACTTCACTAGTTTTGGCTTCTTAGAAATAGAGTTTCATAATCTCAACTTCGCCGTTGAAGAATACATTCATTTTGTCGAGAAAGGCAACTGTGAGGGCACTTTGCAACATTTTCGTCTAAATACGAGTTCGTGTTCAGTGTGAGAAGTGTAATATGTTTACTATAAAATGTACTGCCACTTCAGTTCTTTCACTTGAATGCCATAAAACTTGTTTGGTTATGGAAACAAAATAAAAATGAAAATTTCGCACTGCAAGTGAGATAATTATAAGTATACTGAGGCTCTATAACAAAATGCAGAACTTATCTCCATATCGTAGGTTATATTTAACTTGTAAGAATACATTGATGGCTTTCTTAACCAAGATCCTAGATGGAAGTAATCTAGTTATTTTCTGCCACTGTCGATCAGTACTGTGAAGAATCTTTAAGATAACTGCCTAACACAGGTGAACAATATTCGTGAATTGAACACAGGCATTAGAACATTTAGTATAACATGTGGGCTGTAAGCCTGTTCGGGATAACTGCATGATGTTGCTACCTATTTGACTTTGAAAGTGTTCGAGTCAGAATAACCAAGGTACAGCAAAAACTGAAGAATACAGCACAAACTGAAGACACTGAAAACGAAAGTATATGCATTTTATGCCGTAGTGGAGGGCTCCGGAAATTTCGACCACCTGCGGTTCTTTAACGTGCACCCAAACCTGAGCACACGGGCCTACAACATTTCTGCCTCCATCGGAAATGCAGCCGCCGAAGCCGGGATTCGATCCCACAACCTGCGGGTCAGCAGCCGAGTACCTTAGCCACTAGACCACCGCTGCGGGGCCAAAGTTTCGATTCATGAGCACTGCATGTCGTTATGTGAAATGGTCATGAGCTCTCTGAACAGCGGTTACTTATCCTAGTTTCATTTTTATTGCAGGAGGAAAAAGACCGAGAGGAGCATGAGTGGGCTTGGCACACACTCAAGCAGGATCACTGTGGCAATCAACTTGTCTACGTCTGCCACTTCTGTGACAGGCGCATCACCACGCTGCCCAGCTTCTCCTTTCACCTTCGCCGTCACTTGGGTTCACACGAAAAAATGTTCTTGTGCCCCACCTGCGGTAAACAGCTCGGCACAGCTGCCACACTCAGGATTCATATGACATTGCATGAGGACAAACCATGGCTTCAATGCCCACACTGCCCCCGTCAGTTCCGTAACCGTGTGTATATGCGCAAACATATATTGCGGTTCCACGATGCACGGCTATGCTGTACCTGTTCACACTGTGGTAAAAGGTTTGTATCAAGCAAACAACTACACCAGCACCTAGCAGTCATGCATATTGATGACCTCTCACCTGATGAAATGGCTCTGGTCAGTAAGCTAAAGAAGTACTACTGTGAGTTGTGCCCGTTTGTGGCATACACTTGGACGGGTGTGAGTGTGCACATGTCAGAGCATCCAGCGGCACAGTGGCTCAAATGCAGCCGATGCTCGTGCCATTACCCAAGTGAGATAAAGCTGATGGCTCATGAGGCACGGTCACACAAGACAGGTGAAATAGTGAAGTGTCCTTGTTCGCTCTGTCCACGAGTGTTCTTCTCCAAAGCCCTATTTGATGAACACACTCAGCTACATGCAAATGGTAATGGCATCAAGTGCCTGCAGTGCGACATGTTGTTCGCAACAGCTGCCAAACTGGAACGACACCAAGAGCGCCATGGACCAACTATCGCTCAGGCATGTAAAGACTGTGGACGCACATTTGCCTCAATGAGGAGCCTGCAGGTAAGGCTGTCATTTAGACTCTACTTGCAGAGTTCAGTCATTTTGCTACAGTTGGATGAACTTGTTTTAGAAGTGCATTAGTGTCCATACTTGTGCTGCTTTTTCACCTATTCTTTAATTTGCTGGGGCTGCTTTCATTATGCATGAGAGCTGTCATACCTTTGATTCTTTTGACGCACATTTGCCTGAATGAAGAGCCTGCAGGTGAGGCAAATGAGGCATTGAGGAGCCTGCCTCCATGCGCTCAGGGGGCATGGAGGCAGGCTTTGCTGCCTAGAGAGAGCTGAGGACCCGAGGTTTCTGGCGGTATCAGTGTTCAGTTTTCCGTGTTTTTCTAAATTTGTACAAGTTATAGCTGTCAGAACTGTGTGTTATACGTGAGCGATGATGCGAAAAACCTGCTGTGTGCAAGGTTGTCGCTCCAGCTACAGAGGTGGGAGGGAAAAGGTGTTGTTTAGTTTGATGAGCGATGTTGATGAAAAGGATGAATCGAAACATGCAATGCCGCGACAGGCAGCTGGTGGATCTACCTTCGATTCTGGAAGCGTTTGAGCGTGTGAGAAAGATTTCCATGACGCCAACGCTATTCAGGCTGATGACCTCGTAGTGATTGGAGAAAAATGTGTCTTTGTAAAGCGAGAAGGCAAGTTGCCGGCTGGAGCTGTTTTCTTTCGTAGCTTGCTAGTTTTTTTAGGTTTTTGTCAATTCATTAGGTGCTTGGCATTGTTTTCTTGTTTGCAGTCACTAAAGAAGTTATCTTTTCCGTTTCAAGTGACTCAAAATGAGCAAAAGCTTGTGTCGTTTTTTTTTCATCAGTTTGCGTTTTTTTTTCAATGGCTTGCTACCTCATTTACTGGCTTTGTACAAAGTTTTTATTTGCTAGAAAGTGTCGTTCATAGCTACCTGTTTTTTAGGTAACTCCCCAGTATTTTTTTTGCCATAGAAATTATACGGACACTCTTGGCTGGATTTCGCCGCTGGCGTCGACGTCGGCGTCTGCCGTCATTCATTGTATATGTATACGTATCTAGATATATGAATACGCAAGAAAGAAAAATAATCCAGAAAAAGACACCCGCGTGCGGAATCGAACCTCCAGCCTTTCGTTTGTCAGCGCGCGCTGTTAGCCACTGAGCCACATGGAGCACCTCTTTCAACATTGAAACGGCAAGCTATTTATATCTATCACTTAGTGCTGGCAGCACCTAGCTCGGGGAAATAGCATGTTTTCAGCATTACACGAGTCCCATTGCTACGCTGCGCATTGTAAAATGGGTCACAAATTTCCTTGTGCAATATTGTTCACGTAACATGTAGTTGTCGAAATTACACGTCGGAAATTAACAGCACAAGGTTGCAAGCTTGGAGTTAAGGCTAGCCTATAGACCCTAGAGATAAGCGTGTGTTGACGCGGCACATGGATGTGAAAGTTTGCGCTTGTGAAAACTTGTGAAAGCTTGTGAAAGTTTCGTCATTCCTGATTTTAAGTGTTGCCAAATCTGCATGGGTTAAGTGCCAGTGTAGTGAGCTTATTTTTTATGAACTGTAAACACAGGAATGTAGAGCTTTTGTTTTTTGTCATGCGAAGATGTACCGCGCTGTAGGTGGTCTGATTGTAAAAATACTGCGGTCAGCACTCGCTCAACCTTCTCCTTGGGGCTTCATTTTGCGAGTGGGTTGGTTTACAAGGCTTGTTCAGGGTCATAAGTCTAAGTAAATATCGTGTGCCTGAATAGGTACTAGCATTGTTCTCCACTGCATGAGGTAGGAAACCGCACTGGAACTCATGCAGCGAATATTGTTGCGTCAATCATGTTTGTATCTATCGCAACTTCGATGTCTTTAAACAACAAGCTATAATAAGTTTTTCACACATGTATGCAACTGCCACATTGTATGTTAGGTGAAGTAGAAGGGATAATTGAATTGCTGCGGCTTGGTGACAGATAAACTATTGCTTCGAACCTGCGCAACATCCAGCTGAGAGTAGCACGCACACACGAATGTCCCCACGTTGACCGCAGCAACCCTAGCGGCGGCTTCTGTCCCTGTATGAAACTATAGGCGGAGTTTTGAGACCAGAAAAGCATTGAAGAACTTTGGTCTTAGTGAGCCGTCTCATGAGTTCATTAGCATATAATTACTTCTTTGATCATTGTGTCAATGCACTTTAATGCCTATATATGACATGATATGCATTTCGATTTCGTACCTTCAAAGTGGACGAGAGATGACCGCCACCATATTTCAGTAGTAGAGCATCGGATGCGTCATTCAAGGGTCGAAGGTTCGGTACCTGCCGGCGGCAAGTTATCTTTTCGTCCATTTTTCTTTCTTCACATTTATATTGCAGTTACTTCTAGTAGCATTCTCTATACTTTTCTTGGCATCATTGTTTGTTAATTGTCATTAATATTGTGTCTAACAAAAGAAACAAGCCCTTCACTTTACGCTTCTTCGCTTCATTTATTGCAAAGGTCTTGTTCTGGCAGACCTGATGCCTTCAGGTAGTATGCGAGTGATTTGATTATCTGCCAGCTCATAATAAGATCACATGCCACGTGACATCCATAGGCAAAAAAAAAGTGTTTCATACTTGCCGTAATGGCTGGTTGAAGTGCTGACTGACGCTCCCATGGTTAAATGCACATACATACCCCATAAAGTGAATGGAGGGATGACCACCGTCGTAACAACAAGCTAGTGCACTGGTAGAGCATTAGATGCGTTATTCGAAGGTCAGGCAAGTTATCTTTTCGTCCACTTTTTTTTTTCACATCTACGCTATAATTCCTTCTAGTAACATCCTTTATACTTTCCTTGGCATCATTGTCTGCTGATTCTCATTAATAATGTGCCTAACAAAGAATATGACCCCTTTAATTTACACTTCTTTGCTACATTCAAATAAAATTTTTTAGGATTTTCAATCCATTAAGGACATTTTATTGAAAGATATGACTCACACAAGATATTTTGACTAGAACTTCCTATGACTCTGCGAGCTTCAGTGAGGGGATGAAACAGCTGCCTTCCTGCCTCGTTGGTAAATCGCATGGGATCATTAATTGTTTGTATATTGACTGGGCATATGAATGCAAGCGTGTTGAAGTAGGTGTGAGTAGATGCAAATGTAAATATAAACTTGAGTCTACAGAAGGCTTATAGTAATGCTGAAGTTGAGTAGTTATCATTATTGATCCACAGAAAATTGTGGAGCTTACTCAGACTCACGTAGGAAATATGTATTGCACTTTCATATCACTCGGACTCAGACTCACTGAAATTTTCTTCTACCGGACTCATTTGGACTGAAAATTACCAAAATATTACTCATCCTGACTCAGACTCAAAGCTTGATATGTCTGAGTGAATCTGAATTAGTCGATTGGTGAGTGAATATGCCGACCTATGGCCAGAAAGATGTATTCTAGAAATATATTTTGTGCCAAAACTATAGACCCTGATGAAGATACTCTGAGATGCTTCTAAGGTTGTGAAGGGCAATCACAGGTTCAATTCCTCAGCCCCGAAGAATTTGCTGAATCTGTTTGAGGCAGTAAAAGTAAAGAAGCATAGTTTTTCTTTACATCACTGTAATTAACTTTCTAGCTTACAAAATTCCAATAGTTAGCTTCCTTGTTAGTTTACTGCATTGTGATTTTGCATGGGAAGGCTTTTCAACAAGCCTTGTGTTCCACTAGCCTGAATACGGCACATCACATTGTTTATTTTTGCCGGGGCATTCAGGTAATGTTAAGTCGTTTAGCTTTATGCATGAGTCAGTTCCTGCACCATTTCAGGATGCTGTCGTCGTGGTCTTTGATGGTAAAATGAGGCTAGAATGGTGCCATCACAACCCAGAGCATCTACACTTTTTAGAGAGATGTAGATCGGGTGCGAGGCTTCTTGAAGGGAGTGGCTCACCGAGGTGGGGTTTCTCAGCAGATTGGCCATTTAGAGAATAACTATGAAGGTTTTCTTAGCTTCTTGTGCTCCTACATTACCTGAATTTTCCACTGTTTTTTATGACATTAACTAGGAGATGCGTCAAACCAACCAACAGAAAGAATAAAAAAGGCAGCTTCACACTGTTAAGGGGGGACATGGTGTGTGGAGATATTTTCTGTATTTGTGGACCAAACATGATGAATATATATATGCTTATGTAGTTTCTCCTGCTGATTAAAATATGCAAAACTTTTCATTGTAGCTCAATTAATTTAGAGGATGTGCAATGCTGCCACTCTATTGTTTTCGGAAGCAGTAGAAAAGAAAGGGCGTATCAAAAAGTAAATATTATTGCATAGCTAGACAGTGCAATTAGCAATAAGTGCAATGCTGCAAGCAGATTTCAAATCAAAGAAAAACTAGTGATTCTGCAGATGATGAAAGTTGAGGAGTCATGTCATGGCTATCACATACAAAGAAATTTAATACCTTCTAAATTTATATGGGCAGCAAATGGAAATTCTGCTCTTAGCACTTTGTAATACACAGATTGGGCTTTACGTTAATAAAAAAAATTAGTGCTCTAGTTGTTTTGGATTGCAAGATATCAACCCGACAAACTAATAAAGTCACAAAAAAGCATGTTTTCAGAAAACTGAGTAAAAGAAATAAAATTCATTCATTTAATAACTGCACTTGAAAATGCTCAGTACGCACCAGGCATGTAGTCCTTTTGATTATGAGTCCCTGTGTGGCGCTTTTTCAGGGACTGGTGCATGTTCTCCGTTCCTTGTCGCTTCTTGGCTGATGCTGCCGTGCGCCGTCAATCATTTTCAGCCATACGGCTGCGGCTTTGCCAGCTGGGGTTTGGGCCAAGCTCTTTCCTAATGTCTTCTGATGCCTTTTTATTGCCTGCATTGAGCTTGAGCACTGCTTCTGCCACAGCTGCCTCCACCGTGAATAGCGAAGCATGTCGCTCCTTTGGTGCCAGCGCCCAGATCATTGAATGCAGGCATTTGTTTTTATTTTGGGTTTTCCCTCGCTGGCAT